TTTGAAGTCGGTTAAAAAGGGCTTGCCACGGAACGTGTTAAATAACTAAATTTTATTAACTTTCTATACAAAAAAAAAAAAGGAACTTTCAATTATCTACAAAATTTTAACACATTAACAAAAGAATAATGATGAAACAAACATAACTTAATCTATTGATGCAAAATGAAATTACTTTTCTTGCCAACTCAATATTTGATTTGTGTACTCTTGTTATTTTCTTTTGTATTCATTTTTTGTTTTGTTTTTTAGTTGTATTTTGTTCCAATTATACTACGATTTACTATAATTTAAAATACAGCAGTATTGCATATCAATTATATGAAAAAAAAAACCAAAAACAAAAAAATAGAAGAAAAAATAGAAGAAAAAATGTTGGATTTAACGAATAAGAAAAGATAGTTTTTTTTTTGTAATTTTTTTTTTTTTGTTACATTCCTATTCGAATTTTTTTTTTTTTTTTTTTTTTTGGAAAAACATGGTGCGGTTGATAATTTTATTAGGGAAAATAATTTGTTGTGGTGTATATTTTGTTTCTTTTTTGAAAATGGAAAATATTGAAATAATCGTTTTCTTTTTTTGTTGTCTTCTCTTAAAAGAAAAAAAAAAACATCATCGTCGATCAATTTTTGCATATCATTATTAATTCATGCATACGAAATTATACCTAAAAGTATATCTTCCTACCTTTCGCATATATATATCTATATATATACAATAATAATAATAATACTAATAATAATAATAATAATAATAATAATAATAATTAAAAGAAACAATTATAAATGAATGCATCATCCCCCTTCTTGTTGGTTGAAAATAATATTGGTGACATGTGTTAAATTAAAACACAGACAAAACATTTTCTTATTTGTAATAAAATAAAAAAATAAAAAAAGAAACAAACAGAAGATAAAAGAAAAAGTGCATTAATGTTTATCACATTTGTGGTGCATCATCAATAATTATTGAAAAGATAAACAATTCTCGTAATGAAATATCCGTTTTTTCATTTATTTTAATTATAATATAATTATTATAATTAATATATATTTATTAATATATATATTATATAATAATATAGTAATATTATAATATAATATAATATAATATAATAATATAATAATATTAATTTTATATATAATAATAATAATAATATTAGTAATTAATAATTAATATTATTATATTATAATATTATATTATAATAATTTTTTTTTTATATTATTATTATATTATTATAATATTATTATATTATTATTATTATTATTATATTATAATAATATTAATATATAATTAATAATTANTATTATAATATTATTATATTATTATTATTATTATTATATTATAATAATATTAATATATAATTAATAATTAATATTATTATATTATTAATATATATGTATATATATTAATTATATTAACACTTCAATGGCCGCACGTCTAAGCAGTCAACTTAGTGAAGAATTAATTTAAAAAAAAAAAAAAAAACTTTATTATAAATTCACGAAAAAATTAACATGAAGCAAAAAACAACAACAATTTAAACAATACATTTAATTGTATATAATTTTAAATATATAAAGAGTTATAAAAAATAAATAATGACAAATAATGGTTGTTCCAATTATCATACACTTGTTGTGTGAGCGGCCATTAAAGAGAATGTTAATTATTTAATTATTATAATTAATAATTATTTTTAATTTATTTTAATTATATATATATATATAAGTATAAATGAATGAACGAATGAAAAAAACAATTAATTGTGATGCACGTGCCAACGTTTCGCAAATAAATTATACCCCCTCACCAAATATTAATACGAATAATATTAAATTAATTGAAAAAGAAGTGGAAGAAATGTTTCATTGACAATACATTGTCACTGAATAAATGAATACTAAAATTAGGCCACTAATTAAACTTAAGATGTGACAGTTTATAATTAAACAATTCATCGTTTAATTGAAATTATTCAAAGATGATGAGAAAAATGAGAGAAAACACGTTTGAAGAAAACGTTACAATGTAAACCATATTTAAAGAGACAAATTGAATTATCTTATAAATCATTTTATTTATATTTAATTGAATATTTAAATTCCTTTTTCCTTGTTCTTTTAATTTCATCTTTTTATTGATGCATTCATTCATCATCAATCTAATGAAATAAATAAATAAATAAATAAATAAATAAATACGAATGTCCCTGAATCGAGCTTTAGAAAGACACGTAGAAAAAAAGATAAGAAATGAAAAAAAGTGTGTGTGGCACTTAGAAACGTCCTCTCTTCGTGTTCACGTGTTCCAAAATAAAAAATAAAAAATAAAAAATAAAAAAAAAAAAAAACAAAGAAAAAAAAAGAAAAGAAAAAACTTGAGTATTAGATGATGCAGTATGTGATATGTATACTTCGAAATGTGCAAGAATGAATTTTAAATATGAGGAAGAAAGCAAGTGGATGTTGTGTGGTGTGGTGTGGTGTGGTGTAGTATGAGGACAACAAACCTCAATGGATTGATTTTCATTTTGAAGCTTATTGTGCAAAAGATGGGAAGAAGAAGAAGAAGAAGAAGAAGAAGAGACAACAAGAAAAATCATTTCAAATTCATAATATAACAAACACACATAAAACACACTCATACACCTTTATGAGATACCCGTAATATATATATATATATATATACATAGAGACATATATATAAGGTATTTATAATAATTACAAAAAAAAAGAAATTATAATAATTATTATTATTATTTAAAAAAGAAAAATAAAAGAGCTCAAAATTTGAATTCCATCCGCAAAGGAGAAGAAGAACATACACACATACACACACACACACACATAAAACAAATGATTCAGTCATCATAGAAAATAAAGTCTAAAAACAACAACACACACTTGCGTATTATCTACAAAATACTTTTAATCGTAATATTAATTAATAATATACAGATTGTAAATAACTAAACAATAATAAAATATGCTGTAACAAGTTTTTTTTTCTCTTTTCGCATCTTTCTACTCATCATATTAACTTCATTTGTTTTTATTTTTGTTTTTATTTTGTTTTGTTTGTTTCTTTGATTTTTTTTGCTTCTTTAATTTTTTTTTTTTAATGATTTTTTATATATTTTGTCCTCTTCTTCTTCTTCTTCTTCATCATCTTCTTCTTCTTCTTCTTATTTTATTCTTTTCACATTTTTGCAAGAATAATGGAGATTTTTATTTAATTTCTTCCGATCTCTTCTTCTTCTTCTTTTTCATCTTCTTTTTAAATTTCATATATAATAATAGAAACGACGCCAAAGTATTCGCAAATATGATTGAAATTTGAATCGTTAACGAGACCGAAAGTGGGAAGAAGGCACAGGGTTGTTTTAAAGTTATGTTTTTGTTTTTTTTTTTTTTTTGGGTGATGGTCATATTATTTTATTCATTGGATAAATTTGCTTCTTTTTCTCTTTCTTACTTCCTTACTTTCTTTCTATCTTTCTTTCTTTCTTTTTATCTTTTCATTATTCTTCGTTCATTCAAAAATTCACAATGGCGCGA